CTCTTTCTCATCAACATTTTGTTATTTGAAACTCTGTGATAATGGAGACTTGATAGGTAAAGGAGCATCAGTTTGGAACTTATACATACTCAGAAAGATGCATGAGGATCAAAAGGTGATGTGTAATCTGTCTTTAGAACTTTGGCATCAGTGTCTTGGACATGCAAGTATCTCTACACTCAAACACTTGCCCTTTCTTAAGGGCCAATACTCAGTCTCAGATGAGAAGAAAATCCAGTCTTGTGAGATTTGTTTTAAGGCTAAACATCACATACTACCATTTGCTCACAGCTCTATCCATGCAGCTATAAGTTTTGAGATGCTTCATGTAGATATATGGGGTCCTTGCAAGGATGAGGCTATCACTGGAACTTCCTTTTTCCTCACCATTGTGGATGACTACAGTAGAGCTGTTTGGGTCTATTTGATGGCACATAAGGGACAAGCAGCAAAACTACTGAGTGATTTTATCAAGATGATGGAAACTCAATTTGACACTGGTGTTAAGAAAGTAAGATCTCATAATGGTAGGGAATTTATGGGAGGAGAATTACAATCTTTCTTTCAACAAAAGGGAATAATTCATGAGACCAGCTGCACTTACACACCTCAACAAAATGGTGTTGTGGAAAGAAAGCATAGGCAATTGCTGGAGATAGGGAGAGCACTGATGTTTTAAGCTAAGCTACCAATCTCCTTTTGGCCTTATTCAGTTTTGACAGCAGCCTTTATTATCAACAGGCTACCTAGTGCATTGCTCAACTAGATATCACCTTTTGAGAAGGTGTATGGGAAGGCACCTGACTATACAAGACTCAAGCCATTTGGATGCATGGCCTATGCAGCCAAAATGAGTCCACTTAGATCAAAGTTTGAATCCGGAGGTCACAAATGTATTTTCTTGGGATTGGGACCTGGAAAGAAGGGATATCAATTGTATGATATGGGTAGTGGAGACTGTTTCTTAGCAAGAGATGTGGTTTTCTTTGAAGATACATTTCCTTATCAGGAGTCACATCCAGAAGAAGTGGTTCTCCCTTAAGTCATGCAGATTGACAGTCCATCATCTGAAGTGGACATTCCTTTAACTTCTGAGACTACCATGGCACCTGATGGCCTGAGAAAAGGAACTAGGAAAAGGCAGGCACCTACATGGCACAATGATTATATCTGTGGTGAATCACACATTGTTCAGTCTTCAAAAGAAGTATACCCCATTTACACCTATCCATACACATTGCCCTCAGAGATTTCCTTAGACACAAGGGAGTTCTTGGCTAATGTCTCGGTTGAAAGGGAACCATCACACTATAAAGAGGCTGTGTTGCACCCATCTTGGGTTGAAACCATGCAGAGAGAGATAGAGGCACTTGAAGACAATCATACATGGGAACTTACTCAGCTGCCTCAGGGAAAGAAAGCTATAGGTTGTAAATGGGTGTACAAGATCAAAAGAAAGGCAGATGGGTTAGTTGAAAGATACAAAGCAAGACTTGTAGCCAAAGGCTATAACCAAGTTGAAGGGGTCAACTATTTTGATGTTTTCTCTCCGGTTGCCAGGTTGGTGACAGTAAGGTTCTTTATTGTTACTACTATCCACAGAAAATGGAGTTTACATCAACTTGATGTGAACAATGCCTTTTTGCATGGGCATTTGAGTGAAGAGGTGTTTATGGTACCACCACAGGGTTATGATAAAGCCTTACCAGGTCAGGTTTGCAGACTTATAAAGAGCCTTTATGGCCTCAAGCAAGCCTCAAGGGAGTGGAACCAAGAACTGTGCAGGAAGTTATCTCAGTTTGGTCTAATTCAGTCTTCCTATGATCATTGCTTATTCACTATCACCAAGGGTACAGCCTTTCTTGCCCTTTTGGTTTATGTAGATGATGTTTTGGTGACAAGCTCTCACACTCAACTGGTTCAAGACTTGAAGTTGTTCTTAGATAAACAGTTTACCATTAAGGATTTGGGAGTTGCTAAGTTCTTTCTTGGAGTTGAGCTCTATTATTCAGCTGCAAATGTCTCTTTATCCCAGAGAAAGTATATACTTGACATCCTTGGTGATTTAAACATGTTAGGATGTAATCCTACACCAACACCCTTGCCTTTGGGGGTTAAGTTGGACATGCACAGTGGTACTGCCATGGACCAACCTGAGATCTACAGAAGGTTAATTGGAAGGCTTTTATATCTTGGTCTCACTAGACCAGATGTTACCTATGTTGTTCAACAGCTTAGTCAGTTTGTCACTGACCCTCATGACTCTCACTGGAATTCAGCATTGCACATTCTCAGATATTTGAAAGGGTCACCATCTCTAGGTCTCTTCTATTCTGTGCACTCTGATGCTTTCACTCTCAAAGCTTACTGTGATGCTGATTGGGCCACCTGCAAAGATTCTAGGAGATCTATCACTGGCTTTTGTGTGTTTCTTGGTGATGCTCTCATTTCTTGGAAGACCAAGAAACAAAATACAGTTTCTAAATCCTCTGCTGAAGCCGAGTATAGGGCCATGGGCTCCACTGTTTCAGACGTTTTGTGGCTATCCTACCTTGCTCAGGAGTTTCACTTGTCTCTTCACTTTCCAATACCTCTTTGGTGTGATAATCGGGCAGCCATGCATATTACAGCCAACCCTATTTTCCACGAGCGCACAAAGCATCTCGAGATTGATTGTCACATTGTGCGTGACAAGTTCAAGCAAGGCTTTATTGTCCCTCATTATGTCTCTTCACTGTGCCAACTTGCGGATATTTTCACCAAAATTCTCACCGGGCAGCGCTTTACCACTATGGTTGCCAAGTTGGGCATGCTTCCTGCTTGTCCTGGCCCAACTTGAGGGGCGGCTGTTGAGATGGTGATGCAGATGGTGTATTTTGGGAGTGAAGCCATGCAGATACAGTTTTCATTGTTGCTCAACGTTGTTGTTTTTCTTTTCCATTTTAACTACTAAAACGTTGTTGCGTTTTCTTTTATTTTGCTGCGTTTTTATTAGTTAATACGGTGTCGTTTTAGGCTAGTAGAAACGACACCGTTTTGCATCTTCTCTTTTGTCTCTTTGCATGGACACATATAATGGACCGTACGTCCATTTTTACTTTCTGATTTTTGCTGAAATGAAAATATATTGAGCTAAGATATTTGTGCTCTGAAATTTTTGTTCTTTCGATCATACACAAAAAATGGAGAATCTCTCGATTCAACAAATAAACAGTTTCGACCGATTTGATCCATTAACTTTACCGATTTCGATGACATCGACCGATTCAATTTTCAGACCATTGAACAAAACCCTTATCCATAACTATGGGAGGGGAACGACCATAAAATTTCATTACCATATATAGATCATTTATTTGAAACATTATATTCCCGATACCATGAAATATGTGCATAAATTTTAATGATTGGATAATTAATTACCTTTATTGCCTAAACAAATTGCGCACATTTTTGTATAGTATAGTGGATAGAGTGGGGTTTTTGGATAAAGTTTTGTCCTTCAATCTTTGACGAATTCGTTAAACCGTTTAATCAGCTTTTACATTAACATACCAATTATATTATGAAACTATCAAAATACACAAAATAAAATCTGATCCGTTGATGCTATCGATCGATAATATTTACAGTCATACAGTTAATTCCTCTCAAGATTAGGACAATAACACTGCTTTATTATCAATTTTTCATCCCCTATTTTATCCTCCAAAACCCATCACATTTTAACATCTTCATAAACATAAGTGCTTAAACAAGAGATTTTTTTTATATATATATATAATAGTTAAATATTTTTTAAAAATATATATATATATATATATATATATAT